AAATATTTTTAAAATTACTTATTAAAAATATTTTTAAATAATTTTTTTTTCAAAGTTATTTTGTGTAGATACCTAATTCAACATATTTGATGCAAAATTCTGCAAAATTTTATTAAGCTAACATGCTTTGCACTATTAGAGAATCTTATTTGTAATATCCTAAAGAATATATCTATAAACTTTCATGAGTTTGGATACTTCATTATTAAAATATAGATGAAAATGTTACATGTCATTACTTTTGCTAGGAATTGTATATTATTATAGATTTATAGTTCAACTTTTAATCATCAAGTCTAGATATAATATAATAGTTATATTTATAAATAAATTATCAAAAAGAACATACTTTATACTAATTACAATAATAGTAACTGTATTTGATATTGCAAAGATTTTTTTTGAAAATATCTTTAAATTACATGACTTACCTGCAATTACAATATTAGATAAAGATGCAAAATTCATAAATTACTTTTAAAAGTCTCTTTTTGAATAATTTAAAATAAAACTAATAATATCAACAGCATTCTACTCTCAAACTGATAGTCAAACAGAGAGATTAAACAGAATCTTAAAAGAAATATTAAGGATATATATTATTTATCAACAAAATAGATGTGATAAAAATTTAGCAGCTGTAAAATTTACTTATAATAATAGTAAAAATACTTTAATAGATTATATACTCTTTGAATTAGATTATAAATAAATATCTCATATACTAATCAATATCTTGTCATCATAAAATAATATTATAAACTCACAAGATTTTATGAAAAATTAGAATATCATGATAAAGATTACTAAAGATTTGCTACTAAAAGCTTAAGAAAGATAGTTTAAATATGTAAATTAATATAAAAGATTTGAAAAATTCAATCTTAAAAATAAAGTTTTCTCTTTATCTACAATATAGAAGTTCTAGTAAATAAATAAAGAATAATAAAAAAGCTTATATCAAAGTTCATAAGCCTCTTTGAAATTATTATTAAAATATCTTCTGTTATCTATAAATTGTAATTACCATATAATATAAAATTGCATCTGATATTTTATACCTTATTTTTAAAAAAGTATAACTTAAATGATAAATATAATAAATATTAATCATTACTAGTAATCATTATATCTGATAATGAAGAAGAATATGAAGTTGAGAATATTCTTGATAAAAGAATTTATTATCACAAATTTCAATATCTTGTTAAATGACTAAGTTATTCTCTTTATAATATAACTTGAGAATTTCTTAACAACTTGAAAAATGTCATAGAGAAGATTAATTAATATCTTTGAAAAATTATGTTCTTGAATATAATGAGAATATTATACTTTAAATAGAAAAATATGTAACAATTTGATTTAATTATTTTCTTTTTAGATCCTTTTAGTTTAGATTTTTATTTTACACTATTTATATTATAGATTAGCTTTGTATTATATTTTTAAGATCAATTTCATACTGGATATACAGATAATCATTATATATTTAATATATTAAATTTAGCATATTATTATATAGATGATCACTATGTGTATTACAATTATTAATTTAGATTATTAATATTTTTAATTATATTTATTATTAATATTTTCTTTATAATTTTATTTGTTTTTCTTATTATTTATTTATATTATTATTTATATTATTTATAATTATTGAATTATGATTAGTTGTTCTTTAGAGATGCAAATTAAGTTAATTAATTCTGTTTAAGCCATATATATTTTAATTATAAATTATTATTAATTTATTCATATTTTGTATTTATTTCTTTTTTTATAAATATAATCTGTCTGTTCTGTACTTTTAACTTCAGATTTGAATACTTTTAAATAATAAAAATAATTATAAGTTATTAAATTAAAATTATTCATATTGTATTTTATCTTATTTATAAATATTAACAAAATAATCTTATATTAAAAAAACAATTTATTAATATTTATCTAAGATATAAATCTTTTTATATTAGAATTTAATAAATATATAAAAAAATATTTTAATAGTTTTAATAAGTAAAAATCTTATAATATTTTTTATTTATAAGTATTATTTTAATAATTTATATTAGCTTTTATATAATAAATTTAAAATTTTGTGAGATTTAATAATTTATAAATTTGAATAATATTTATAATATTATTAGTAAAGAAAATTATATAATTTTTTAATTATTTGAAAAATATAACTTAATGTAAAAGATTTATAACTTAATATAAAAATTAATAATTACTTCTAATAAAAATTATTCAAATTTTAATTTATCTTTATAATTTTTTTATATTAAATAAAAAATAATCTAAATTAACTTTTTTATATTATTTTAATTATTTTATTATATTTAATTCAATAATAAATAAAGTATTACTTTATTAAATATTAATTTACAATATTAAAACTTTAAATTATATAAGAAATTATCTTAAATTTGATAAATATATATTTTAAATTTCATAAAATTGAATTAATAATTATAAAAATATTAAAATTCAAAGTTTAGTAATTAAATTATTTATTATATAATTATTATATTAATTTTAATCAAATTTTATATAGTAAACTTTAAGAAATAATAATTCAAAAAAGTTATTATTAATAAAATTTTTTTTATAAAAGTATATAATAAAAATTTTTATATTTAAATAAATTTTAATATCTAATAACTTAATTAAATAAGACAGAATTAAAATTTTATTTTAAAAAAATAATCTATTAATATTTATTTAATGTACCAATCTTTTTGCACCAGACCATATGAAGAAATTAAAGAGAGTTTGAAATCAAAAATATGGAAAGAATAGACTTGATGATATGTGTAAATATTATTACTATAAAAAAAAAACAAAAACTCCACTCAAATGCAATTTATAAGGTAAATGTGGGTATTATGGCGAAGTTAACAGTTTTCATTAATAAAAGTTTATGAAAAAAGCCAACCTCTTCATAAATTTTAATTAACTTTCTAAGATTTCGATTCGCTTTAAAATAATAAAAAAGAACATAATGTTTTCTTAGTTCCTCAAATTGTTATAAATTTAATGCGGAACGAAGATCATGTACATGTACATGTAATATGCGAATTTGCATGTAGTTTACAAATTACATGTAGTATTTTGAACTGATGTACATGTATTAGTTAATTTAAATTCTCAAATTAATAGCAATCGAGCTTCGAATTACTGTAACTTGAAAAAAATTTGTACTTCTATTAAAGTAAATGGTCTCTTAAAATAAAACTTAAATGCTAGGGGCAGATATTTCTATTTTAATTTGCTCATGATTGGTATCGTTATAATTGTTGTCATTATTAAGCAAATTCCGTTGTTTTTTCCAATTGAGAAAAAAGAATAACCCAGCACTAAACAGGATGGCGCATAATATACTAGCTGCAGCACCTACAATTAATGCTAGCTTACTGCTGCCACTATCACTGCTTGAATTAGAAGATGGTATAGGTGAATATGAGGTAGTGGTATTTATGATGTTAGGTTTGGGAGGGGTGGTGAGCTCTAGTTTGTTTGGTGTATATGTCGTCTGCCATGTATATGATGTGGTATCGAGTACTAAAGTATTATTTGGAAAATCAACTTTCAACTCATCCGCCTATAGTAAAAGTATGATAGCAAAATTAGGCTCTAAAATACTATAATAAAAAGAACGAACGAACTTACGTGCTTCCCTAAAAAATGACATTAACAATAAATGAAATTAGAATAATTATCATAACAAATCTTAACTATATGTATTTGAGAGTGTCTTACCAAAAGTTATAATTAAATTTGTTCCAGCCATGACCATCGTATGAGCAGATCGAGCACTAGGAATGACTCCTTTTGTTATTATATTTGTCCAAATATATGGATTAGTTGTCGTATCCAACACATAAAGGTCGTTAAAGAAACTGGTAGTATTCATCGCTCCGCCGAAAATTATAATTTTATTATCCCATGCTATAATAGATGCATTTACATATTTTTATTTTGGTAAGATAAAGGCAAGAATTTCAAATATACTCACTACCAACTGCTTTATGATAATAACGTTCTGAAGGAATAACAGAGCCATTTGCCGGCTGTGAAACAAATAGATTTTAATAAAGATATATATTTCAATATACTTTTTTATTTATTAATTAATTACCACTCGAGTCCATTGATTTGTCTTTAAATCGAACACGGGGATCAGATCCATCTTTGCAAGTTTATTGTTGGCGTTATTTAAAATGCCACCAATTACATACATTTTGCCATCACTTAAAAGTGTCGAAGTATGGAGCTCCCTAGAATCCGGACTAACTGGTAAATTATATGTGGACCAAATATCAGTGCTCATATTTACTAAAAACAACTCATCGACCAATTGGGGTGTACTCGAATAATTATCGTATCTTTTTCCACCATAAAAAATTATTGTAGAATCATTGAAATTTGTAACGCCTGTGTGTTTTTGCCTTCTAACTAATTCACTTGTATTAGTGAAGTTAGGAGTTGACCACTTTTGCGATTTGGTATCGAATACGGCATATGAACTTGATGATATTAGATCTGGTGTTTCACCACCATAGATTATTAACAGTTCGTTTTCTGCGCCGCCAACATTGGCTGTGTGGTATGCAACTCTTGGAGCATTTGTCGAAGGGCCACGAATCCATGGTGGTGTAGATACATCAAAAGATTGATTTAAGTTTAGTATCCAAAGTTCATTCATGTCTGCTGTCTCATTTAAGATTAGTGGGTTTGACGTTCGTCGTCCACCAAACACATACAATCTAAATTATGTTGTCAAGGAATAAAACTTTAAAGTTTGCCTTTTAATTATCAATTATAAAAAAGTTTGCTTACTTATTATCGATTATTGCGCCATCTTGATAACTAAAAGTTTTGGTTATTTTTTAGAATAATTCCAATAGCATTTATTCAACTTAATTGCTTACCGTCTTGAAGTAGGATTTCCTTTAACAAAGCAAAACACTAATATCAAATAAGTACATAATGTCACAAAGAAGAATCTCATTTTAAAATCTATTTGTGCTTTGAACCGAAATTCATGCATTAGTTTTTACAAAAAAAATTTAATTCTCAAGTTCAAGCTCTTTAAGTGCTTAAGGTACCGTTATTATTACACGCACATGTATAATTTTCCAATAATTTTGTGTTGCAGATTTAAAAATGGAACACAAGCATCGTGACTATTATTGATTGAAATCTTCAATTCATTATTTGGCAGACCATTAAAAACGCCAATTTTAGTAACATAACAAGATTTATTATTAAATTGCTTGGACCAAATGTTTCACCTTTATGTATTATTTTTAACATATTACATGTACAAACAATCCTTAATTGTTCAATACACTAATCTCAGAAATATTATGTAAACTGCAAAAGTCGTGTATAAACATTCTCATTCCATTTGTAATTAATATTAACTGACTATCTCCTCGTTTTTCTTTCAACGATTTCAATATTCAATGATAAGGAACAAACCAAACTACTTGGAAATGCAAATAATACGAGCCATGTATGAAATCGTTTTAAAGCTTGGAACATTAATTATATTAGTAATAATGTTTTTTAAGTTCATTTTTCTAAGGCGCCTTAGTTAGAGTCTTATAGCTTACAATATTTTGAATCAGTTAATTATTGATAAAATTGTTGAGCAAAAATTAGATATTTTATATCTATCAATCGGAGCACTATATTTCTCACTTAAAAACCAAGCTTTCTTTATTAATTTTTTTATATAAAGCTTCATGAAAAACATTATTCTATTCATGTTTTTCTTGGTCACTGAACCTATCCATTTTGGTAATCACGATTTTTATCACATATGGGTCACGTGTACTTGACATACGAAGGCAGGTAAAGTTCAACGAGTACAAAAAATATGCATTTAGAGAAGTTTTTACATGGAATATGCCCATTTCTTAGATATTTTCACACTCAATTCGGAAGTTAGGTTGACTAACGTATTATAGATGCAACAAGGATCAAGAGCAAGGCTGCGAAATTGGGATCACTGGGGTTCTAAAGGTCACTATGCAAATCTTTGTGAAATCAAGTGCAAAGGTAAAGTTTAAAATAAAATGTTTAATTCAATTAACAAAGGTAATAATCATTTATTAACAAAATATAAATCCAAATAATTACAAATAATTACTAATACAATTTTAAATAATATTCAATTTGAATAAAAAAATAGGTTGTTCCAAATTAATAAAGCCTTCGATTTTGTTAGAGCGCAAAAGAAATGAAGCTATCAATTTCGTTTTGGCACAAAAGAAATAAAAGCCGAGACGTAGTTAGGTAAGAGTTAAAATAATTTTATTTAGTTATTTTCTTCAAACCTCACATTGCCTGTCTCTCTGACCTTCGAGAGTTATCCTATATATATACAATTTTGTCACTACACAACTGTCTAAATTACAAATCGTTTACTACAGGTTTCGTGGTCATCAGAATACAACGTAGGAATTTTAGTAATAATTTTTCAAAAGAAAAGAATATCTATACTGTAAAATAACAATGTAATGAATTTTAATGTATATTAAAAAGTGAAATAAAATTAAAAATTATTATGTGCGATCCAATTTGTAATGAACAATTTAATTGTAATCATTAATCATGACTTAAGGAGATGACGCAAAAGTAAGAATTTTGGTAGGAATCGATAACAATAATTTAGTCGCGCAATTGCATATAATCCACTAACGTTGATATGTAAATGTAAATGGAAACATTTTTAAGTTTCAATGTACATGTGCATGTACATGTACAACGTATACATGTGCATATAATGATATAATATAGCTTTAAAATCTTTCAAATTGTTTAAGCGAGAACTTTTTCGTTCCGAAAAAAAGTCATAAATGATGGCGTTTATAACTGAAATTTATATCTTATTGTTTTCTTTATCCATTTTAACATTATCGTTATACTGGCTAAAAGGAAGCTCTAATGAATTTCCGATCCAACTTGGACACTCGATGCACCAGAGTTTCACAAAAATGTCTAAAACTTATGGATGGATAATTATTAATGACCATAAGATTACAAGAGATTTATTTGTCACACGTGGTGTTACCTCGCGGTATTGATATATCGATATTATAACTATTTGTTTACTTAAGAAAAAGTGAATGACTGCATAAAATATTTTTAATAATAAAAGAGATCCGGCTTATGAGATATCCTTCTTCGTGGATGTAAAAGTGTGCCTATGAGTCCGGTAACTTTTATTTCTTTTTAATGACTAATTATATAGCATAAGCGAAACTTATTTGATGTTCATGCATCAGAATTACAGCTGGTGGAAAACAATGAGAGCGATTGAATCGCAAGGAATTCGTCTTCATCAAATCGAAAATGTGTATAACTAAAATAATAACGACGATGGTGTTTGGTGAATTAGCTAAAGATCCTGTAATTTCTTCTATTCATGTAAAAAAAAACTTATAGAATTTGCAGATTTTAAAGGCAATCTACTTTTAATATTTCCGTGGTTAAGATATTTTGGTCTTCAGAAAATCTTCGAGAGAGAAGCACGACAACTAGTCGTAGAAAAGGAAGAATTCTATAATGGTCTATTGCAACAAATCAAGAATCGAATGGTTGTAAAGGACCAGATTCAGAAACCATTATTGCTGCCGAAATTTTAAAGTCGGTCACAGTTGTTGCCTCTCCATATACACACGAATTTGAAAAAGATGAAAATGAAAAATATATCCTTGATAATTATGATGTGTTGACTATTTGTGATGATTTAATGTATGGGGGAATTTCCACAACAAATGGTGCTTTATGTTGGGTTTTTGCTACTTTAACCAATCATCCTCAAGTACAACGCAAAATTCAGATAAAGTAGTTGGTAAAGGAAGATTCTATACTATGGATCATGATGCAGATTTACATTATTTGAAAGCTACCATAAAAGAAAATTTACGATTTAGGTATACAACATTGCAGCTCTCGATGAAACTTCTATATTCCCACAAATATAATCTATGATAAACCACATCCTGAACGATATTTGGATGACAATGGACAGCTAATGAAATACAACGAAATTCTTGATCCATGGGTAATTATTGATTATAAATCCCATTGATTATAAATCCCGTTTATTATAAATAATTAATCTATGATATTCTTTTTTTAAGTCATTTAGTCGTGGACGCCGAGCATGTTTAGGAATTAACTTGGCTTATCGTATTTTACTTACAGTTGTAGGCCATACATTAGCGATATTTGATCTTGAATTAGAAAAAAGACTTATCTAATGAACCGATAAAGATTGATCTTGATGCGGGAAGAGGCCACGACTTCGATTATCTTCCACCAGAATACAAGTTAATTTTTAAAGTTCGTGAAGGAGTTGATATTGAAACAGCTTTACAGTTTTAGCAATATCATGAAAAATATAACCATTTACAGTCTGTAACAAAAACTGTAATATGCAAAAATCGTATTTTATTATAATGTTTGTTTGACATCATAATTTTATAAAGTGGGCTACCAAACTAGGAAATAAAGATAAAACATCTAATGAAAGAATGAATCCTTTTTGAAAGAACTAACAAAGTTTTATAAAGTACATATGTTCGCACAATTACAAAGTTATAACTTAAAGTACTGTACATGTATGTGTTGTTAGAACAATTTAATAAGTACATATAAACAGGATTTTTGTTTTTGATACAAGTTATATTACTGTATGACTGTAGAGTTCGTCCTTCTATAAGCTCAGAAATGCTAAATGAAAACATTCAAGCTGAATAGTTTGCATTGTCAGTATTACAGCTTCCAAGAATATCCTAAAATACATAAAACTCGAATGGCTGAGGTTGCAAAAACATACATATTTACACCTTTTAGTTTAATTTGATTTAAATCAATAAAGATAAACTTACATTTATTTCTTTCTTTGATATCTTTTATTATTTGAATGTTAAAGAGGCTGAAAAAGTTCGACAAAGCAAAGCCACAAATTCATGATGGAACACTTTCAATAGAACAAGGTAACATTGCTGGCAACCAGAATTAACCTGATTTTAAGATCTGAAGTTATGTACGTATTTGATTTCATGCTCAAAAAGTAACGCTCGATCTGTATGTATGTGTAACAAGATCAATAACTTTATACATGGTGGCGTTTCCCCTTTTTTAATGTTTTTTTTTACCACATGCGTACCCAGATGACTGACATGGAGAAGGGAAAAATACTAACATATATGGAGAATATGAACGCTGAACAAATTGCAAGAAAGATGAAGCGTGACCCCACCACAATACGACGATTTATTACCAAGGATAAAAAGACCAAAAAAATCGATAATTTACCACGGTCCGGAAGACTGTTCGGATAATACACTTTGTAGCAACTTTTCATTCAACCTTACATGGTAGCTCTTTTTAGTAAGAAAATGATGATACTTTTATTTTATTAAGTCTAAAAAATTTGAATCCATTGTTTTCAACGACCAACGGTGGTTTCTTCTATCGTTAATACGTGATCCTAACCTCATTTGCCGAATCCAAATCCACCGATTCATTATTAGTATCATTATTGTTATTGTTATTGCTTTTGCCAAGCATATCCTGTCGTCCTTCCACTAGTTCATTATTAGTTTCATTATTTTTATCCTGACGTCGTCGTTTGAAAAAGAATAACCCAACACCAATCAGAATGACACTTGATATGCTAATCACAACGCCTATAATTATTTTTGTGTTGCCATTTTCATTGCCACTGTCCACACCGACACCATTTTGCTCACTGCTTGGAGCTAAAGTTGGTAATGGCGTAGTTGTACTAGTGTTCGTTTTGTTTGAGATGTTAGGTTTGGGAGGCGTGGTGAGTTCTAGTTTGTTGGGTGTGTATGTTGTTTGCCATGTATACGTTGTGGTATCGAGCACTAACGTATTGTTTGGAAATCCATCTTTCAATTCATCCGCCTAAAAAAAATTAACCGAAAGTTTAAAATTAAGAAAGAGAATAAATAGACATAAGAACTTACTCACATGTCTCCCTAAATCACAATGAAATAACAAAATTAGAATATAACAACTCTCAAATGGAAGTATTTTAATTTACGCATATTCCTTCTCACCAAAAGTTATAATTAAATTTGTTCCCGCCATAACCATTGTGTGACAAGATCGAGCAATAGGAATGATTCCTTTTGTTGTTATGTTTGTCCAAGTGTATGGATTAGTCGTCGTATCCAAGACGTAGAGATCGTTAAAAGTACCAGTAAAATAGTCAAAATCCGTTGTTCCTCCGTAAATTATAATTTTATCATCTCCCGCTATAATAAACAGAATTATATGAGATAGAACAAATATTTTTAAAGAACTTAAGTATATACTTACTGCCAACTGCTTTATGCAAGAATCGTCCCGGCGGAACGACGGTGCCATTCACTGGCTGAAAAAACCAGTAATTTTCTTAATTACAATAGATACTTCAGTCTTCTTTATGTATATCAAATTTAATTACCGCTTGACTCCATTGACTTGTCCTTAGATCGAATACGAGAATTAGATCCAATGTTGCAAGTTTATTGTTAGCGAGGTCTGTAACACCACCTATCACATACATCTTGCCATCACTTAAAAGTGTCGAAGTATGAAATGCCCTAGACTCAGGGCCGGCTGGTAAATTATATATAGACCACGGATTTGAGCTCGTATTTACTACAAACAAGTTATTGCCTACTGGAGGATTCGAAAAACTTGCTCCACCATAAAAAATTATCGTAGAATCATTGAAGTTCGTGACACCTGTATGTTTTTGTCTTCGATTTATCTGGCTTGTATTGAAAAGAGGGGTCGACCAATTTTGTGACTTGGTATCAAATACAGCATATGACGTTTCCATTGAATCTAGAGTTTCACCACCGTAGATTACTAGTAGCTCGTTCTCTGCGCCGCCAACATTGACTGTGTGGTATGCAACTCTTGGAGCATTTGTTGAAGGACCACGAAGCCATGGTGGTGAAGATACATCAAACGATTGATTTAAGTTTAGTATCCAAAGTTCATTCATGTCCGCTGTCTGATTTAAGATTAGTGGGTTTGATGTTTGTCGTCCCGCAAACACATACAATCTAGCAATAAGGTATTCAAGTTAAAAATACGTCTTTTAATTACTGAATTTTTAAAAAGTTTGTTTACTTGTTGTCGATTATTACTCCATCTTGGTAACTAAAAGTTTAAGTTTTGGTTATTTTTTGGAATAATCAAAATAGCATTTATTCAACCTGACAACTTACCGTCTTGAAGTGGGATTTCCTTTAGCAAAACAAAATACCAATATTAAATAAATACATAACGCCAAAAAGAACGTTCTCATTTTAATGTTTGTTTTGAATCAAAATTCAATATATGAAGTACGTACGCAGTATATATTAGTTTTTACAGGAAAAAAAAATCATTTTTCGCCAATTTGAAACATTATTTATAAAGACTCACTCTTTATGATTACGTTTATGTTCTAATACATCTTTACAAAACTTAATAAATTCACGCACATTAGTCATATACATGTGCATGCACAAGATTTAAAAATGGGAATACAAAGCCCTATTAAATGTAACCGTTATTGGATTGATTGAAATTTACGCGCAAATTAAAAACTACATGTAGTTAGCGTTAATTTTTTTCAAAAATTTGAAACGTTTCCGTTTCGCCCTATCTCCATTACTAATATGGAATCATCTGTAGATTGTTTCCATTCGCAGTTAACCATACCATTATAAGACATATAAAAAGTTATCCCACGATTAAAATTGGAAGTTCAAAGAATACAAGTATAATATAAGTCACTATTTTTGAGGGTACTGTTACTGTCGCAACGAAAAGCTCGTGTTACGAAGATTCTGGAACGATGAAAGACGAATTTTAACGTTAACTCTTGCATCCCTAATTGATAATGTGTTACGAAAACTTAAGATATAGTAGTGGTCATAAGTTAATCTATCCCTGTAAATTCAAAAAAATGATTTGAAATTTTCATAACATAAGGAATAATACAAATGTTGATTCTCTATGTTATTATATCCTTATAGCATGTCATGTCTATATAAGCTTTGAAATTTTCTTTTCTAAAAATGATACTTATATTTGATTTATAATACAAGATTTTGATATTCAGTTATCCGGTTCATGTGAAAATAGCTTCATTTAATTCATTTTGATGAGGCTAATTGAATGATAATCTTTTTTCTGAATTGAATCATTAATCACCAAGGTATTCTATTTGCAAAGGACTCAATTTTTTTCTAGCATTAATTTTTGATAAAAATCAATTTTTCATTGGCAATTAATTGCAAACAAATCATTAGATATCACAAAATAATGATCATTATAATATAAATAGTAAAAGAGATTATCTTTTCAATAAATTTGTTAAAAAATTGAACAGTAACTTAAAGGTTGTATTTTTTGGCATTAATAAAGTTCAATAAAATTATATTATATTACCAGAATTAGGACTAGTTGTGTACTTAAAAATATCTATTTTTGTATAATTTAGAAGGAGTAAGTTACTTATAACCACTGCTGTATTTTCGCGTAAAATTTCACAAAATCCATATAAAATTTTTATCTAGTAGCATTAACATTAATGTCACTTTGCAAAAATCTTAAAAATTCTTACTTTGTAGTATCAACATCAACATGGCCCTTCCCAATAACACAAATTTCTTACAAACATTCTTTACTTTGCGCTTCAAGCATGATTATAATTAGAAACTCTCAAACATTTGTATCTTACGTTATTCCCTTGATCCATAGAAATTCTTACAAAATTCATACCAAAATTCACATTTGTGTTGTACACAATAATTTTACTTTATTTTCCTTATAATTACAATTGATTCTATGCTTGGTTTCGAAGCATAGCCATGCCACCTTTTGTAAAATTTCTTACAAATTCATACTTTGTACGTAGAATTCTTGTAGTAACTTACGATCGGTAAAATAGATAGTTAGTTAGTAACCAAATTGTATATAAAGTATGGATCTCGAAGAACTGAGAAGTCAATGTGTGGTATGAAAAAAAATAAATAAAAATTATTTTTGACTCCTACCTAATACTAATAACGCTTCGGCTTTTATTTCTTTTGTGTCTTAACAAAATCGATAGAATTTTTCTTTTGTGCTAAACAAAATTGAAGGCTTTATTTATTGTTTTGGTCATACAAAGTTGATGATTCTTTCATTATTGGGCTATTTGATTATTTGATTTTGATATTGTTATTCATTTTTTTATTGTTTTGAAATAAACTTATTTTGCAGTTTGGATTTGAATTTTAAATTTTTTTTTAGTTATTTTATTGTTTAGAATTAAATTATATTTTTGTTATTTGGATTAAATATTATACTTTAACTTCGTCCCTTTAAATTCCTTTGCCTTTTGATTTCACAATCTGCGTGTAGATTGACGCAGGAGACCTTTAGAACCCCAGTTTGCGTAAATCATTCATTCTAGTTCTTAACCCTTGTCGCATTTATAATTCTTTAGTTAACCTAGCTTCTAAATTGAATGTTGCAATGCTAGATACAGTGCTAAATGGTCACTTTAATCGCACAAATTGATTCTCATATAAACATTGGTCAAATGGTCTGACTTTATAATTAATACGATGAAGATGCATAAGTTTTATTTTTATAACACTGGTTAAAATCAAATTTTCGTATTATTGCCAATAGCATTTTCCAATCTCTTTATTGTATCAGCATTAATTCAAACGAAAAACATTTTGTTGTTTATATCTGATTTTTTTCGTTGTAAAATTTGCGAGATATAATTCTAGGTGTAAAAGAGGCATCCAGTGTTCTAATTATTCTTTGAACTTTTAATATTAGGATCAAATCTTCCTGTGATGATTTAACGTCAGATATAAAAATTTCAATTGTCAAGTTAATGAACGATCTCCACAAAAATACATGTAACTTCTAAATT